AAAAAAGCTCCCAAGTTTTGTAATAAATAAGGAAATGATACACATATACCGAATTTTTGGGTCAAAATCTTTTTTTTGATTATCTCAAAATCGTGATTTTGACGTTTGGGCTGTTTCTATTGTCCATGCCCCATATATACCATCCCACCGTGATGTGATTGGTCGATAGTTATTCCAGTTTAATGAGGTCTTATTTCTAGGTGTAATGGAATTTACGTAACCCAATAATTAACTCTACCTTTTACTTTATGTTTTCGAATGGGGCGTTTCCTTACCGCTTCAGTCTTATGTATATTTATAACTTATATTTCCAAACTAGATGTGGAAGAATTACCAGAATCGCTGTCCGAAGTATCTGAATTGGAAGTATCCAAATCAAAAGTTGCAGAGATATTTGATCTGTGGTATAGTGAAGAGACAGAGTCTTGAGCCTTCGACTCATCTTTCAATTTCCCAGGGAGCAATTTGTAAAAATCATGAATATCTCTTTTATTAACAGATACTATTACCCTACCCCCTTTCTTCCCACTGAGATTTTTAATACGCAATGTAGTTCTTACAAAAGCATTTTTTGCATCTGTTACTATTTCTGGTAAATAATGTTGGATTTTATCATTAATTCTGCTTCTGCCATAGAACCAATTATTACCAAGCAGGATATAATTGGGCGTTTTATGGTCATATTTCTCTACAAGTACTTCAGTTAGGATTGTGATGGATTCATAATTACTAATGTGATGATTGTTTATTATATTAGAAGTAAATGTAAGTGGGATTATGGCCAATCCAAGTGGAGCTGTTGTTTCTTCTCTGATGAATTTACTATCTTTTTCTTTGGGAGTTAACTTTCTGCTAATTTTACCACTGATTTTCTTGAGAAGTTTATCAGTACACATAGAGATTCCCAAAAACCCTGGTTCAAGACGACAATTAACTTTTTGCTCCCCTACTTTAGCTTTAACTATTTTTACTTTCATGGTAAGTTATATTATGTGATATATATATTCAACCGAAAAAAATAACTCGGTAAATAATTACCCATTCTCTGCTACTACATATAATTATTTGTAAACCATGAATGATTAGGATTAATCCCGCCAATCTCTCTGATAGTGATGTTAGCCGTTTAAAAATCCTTAGCTGGCTAAGCCGTTTGCTACCTAAATTGTTAATTTTATTTCCATAACAAGAAGGTAACGCGGAAATCTATTACCAAATTTAGAAATTAAGTATGCAGATTATTAGCCGGCTAACATCACTACTCTCTGATACAATCATCAAATGCAGAAATAAGATCTGTTTCATCTGATGTATGACTCAAAGAGTAGTCTCTAAAGGACCTGGTCCTCAACTGGTCTGAATCATCTAATAATGAAGATATTACTATACATACGGCAAAAGCAAAGAAGCTTGATTAGTTATCATCATCATAGAGATGGAATGGTCTTGCTTGCTCTGGAGTCTGTCCTTTTTTCCGATAATTTACTACAACATAATTCTGTACTGGAGAAGTATGGTTGTCAGGATTGTGTCGTAGACATTCTCCGGCAATGGTATAAGCATGAGCTATATTCTTGGCCTCATGTACTATGACACCATAAACAGCACCCATTTTTATAAGTATTTGGGAATTAAATCATAATCTTTTAAGAATCTATTGAACCATTTAACTCCTGGCTTACCTGGATTACCCATTTGACCAGAAGATATAGCATTCTGTATCCAGGTTAGTAATTCTTTGGCTCGTTCTTGATTCTTTTCCATAGATCTAAATTTTCTAGGAATATCTGGCTGACCCCTGTTCTTTGCATAACCCGTCACTCCAGCATCTGTAATACTATAGATGCCGCCCAAATCCTAAATTATTTGGGATTATGGCATCCCAAATGTACAAATTAAATTTGGAAAGCCTATTGAAGAATTCCCAAATCCCAAATTAATTTGTACATTCCAAATCAATTTGTACATCCCAAATCAATTTGTACATCCCAAATCAATTTGTACATTCCAAATTAATTGTACATCACAAATTACTTTGTATATTCCAAATTAATTTATACATCCCAAATTAATTTGTACATTCCAAATTACTTTGTATGAAATCAAAATGATATTGTCACCAATTATTGTTTGGGAGAGTGTGTTAATTGATGATAACAATATAAAATTTAAGATTATGTGGATCAGAATGAATTGGCTACTAATGAATTAGTTTTATTAGCAAATAATTTTGGTTTAGTGATTTAAGAAAAATGTTTTATTTAGTCAAAACTAATTTATTAACTTATTTCTAAGTTAATTTTATTATAAAACTTTAAGACAAAGTTATTTTACAAGCAAGTCGAATTTGAGCAATCTAACATTCTAGCCACGATATCACGACATAACATTATAACCATGATGCTAATTTCTAAATAAAGCCAACTAATTTTAACATTATACAAATAAAAATAAAAATGTAATACAAATAAAATAATAAAAATGTAAGTAAATATGAATAAAAATAAAATAAGAAATAAAATATAAGGAATAAATAATGTAGATATAAAAATAAAGTAAATAAAATAAAAATAGAAATAAAAGATTTGATTCGGAATTAGGATATTTCGACTAACAAATTAGCGTTAAATCCTAATTCTGGTAACAATAGTAACAAATAATTTAATTCGAATTTTCCATTTTTCAGATTTATTATTCCATGATACCATTTTGAAGGAAAAATTTATCAATTTTATAAATTATATTAAAATTTAATTACTATATATTAAAAGTAACATTGAAAATTTTTTAAAAAAATAAAATCAAATTAAAATGTCAAATAAACAAAATCCAAAGTGAATTTCTTCTGTTCATGGAAGTATGAGTTCAAAGAAAAACAAAATATCTCAACCATTAACCTCATTAAATGATTCTTTTGGTGAATTTTCTAATACTACAATGCACAGAACTGAAGTATCTGATGATGAATTAAATGATAGTGAAAAAACTATAAGTTCTGAAGATTTGGAAGATGAACATAATATATCACATACTAATAAAACTGTTAATCCTGAATGGTTTAAATCATATTCATGGTTAGGAGTTGAAAACCTTAATGAAGAAACAATCATATATTGTAAAATATGTAGAAATAGGAATGGGAAAACGAAATTTGCAAGAGGTACATCTAGTTTAAGATTAACAAGGATTAAAGAGCACTTAATAGCCAAGGAGCACAAAGAATTTGAAGAATTACTTGAGGCAGACCAATTGAGCACAAAAAAATTAACAATAATTTCATTAATGAGAAATGTTTATTTTTGCTCAAAAAAAAATCTTTCATTGAATATCTATCCAGGTTTATGTGATTTAGCATCACTACAAGTCAAGAATAAAGCAATTGGTGATAAAACCTCCAATTTAAAACCTGCTTCCATAGAAAAAACATCATCACCTAAATCAACTTATGGAAGCTATACTAATGCTAAGCCTGGTTCTGAATTTTTAGAATGCATAGTTTCTGTTATACAAAAAGAACTTTTTGAAGAATTGAATATATCTCCATACTGGAGTGTATTGATTGATGAGACAAGGCTCATCAGGAAAATGTGTTTTTTTTGATACATGTATTATATGTATATTATATGTGTATTATTTTACATTACAGGTAAGGTTGCGGGAGAAACTCCTCCAGAAATCAATCGACAGAGTTTCGACAGGTTACACATTAATTGTTTATTAGAG